GGCGCCGAGCCTCAAGTTCACATTCTACGTCATCACAGACCGAATAGCTTTCAGTCTCCTTCATTTGTTTCAGTAGTTCTTGATGCTCCATAGTCATTGGGACCAGCTCATCCTGCACTGCCATTAAAAGTTCAGACGCATTGTCACAAATGGAAATAGACTGTTTTCAGAGCCAAGAAGTACAGCCTTATTCTGGGAAGTTTCTCCAATAGGCTTGTAGAGACATGTAGGCTCAGTCACTTCGGATGGTTTCTGAGGGGAGTGGAGGCCACCGTGTTGCTTCATCTGCATAAGGTTCTGTGCACTTACATTCACGGAACAGCTTGCACTGGAGGACTTCTCTGTTACAAGAGGCAGGGCTCCAAACTTTGAATAAATATGCCAAAGTGTCCTGTCTTTAAATATTGAGTTTTCTTTGAAGATGCCTTCTTTTCCTTGGAGTGTTTTGGATTTGAAACTGAAGGCATTAAAATGCTACTGATTTCAAGTCCAGTTTGAAGCTCAGAAGCTTTGTCTTGAAATAGCTTATGCTGATGTTCTTCTTCCTTAAGTTTTTCCTCTAAATGTTTAATCTTGTCCTCAGCAGTTTTCTGAGTTGTAAGCCCAAAACACTCTTCTAAGGCATCAAGCTTTTCGAGTTTCACGTGCAGCTTCATCTGATCTTGTTCTTTTTCTCTTTGAAGCTGGGCCTGTTGTTCTAGGATCATATTCTTTCCTTGCTCTCCACTGAGAACCATTCTTAGTATGTTCTAGTTGCTTCTCTAGAAGGGTACAACGAGATTGGGCTGAGCTTAACTGTATACTTGTGTCTTTTTTCTGCTTTACCAGTTCCTCATGTGCCAGATTTCTCTCATTCGTTTCACTCTCTAAGGCCTTTTTATACTGTGCTGCTTCTTTGGAAAGCGCGTTCAGGTTATCTTCAGCTTGTGTTCTCTCTAGTTCTAAATGAAGAATCTTTTCCTGAGCAGTTTTTAAGGTGAAAAGAAGAGCTTGGCTATTTGGGCTATGAACCACTTTAGCAGAGGTGACGTCTAAGTTCACAGGTTGGCAAGTCTAAGATGATTCATTCTGGGTGAATGATGGAACACTCTTTCTGAAGGCTTAAGGTAGCTTCCTATGATATACACTAATTCAGAATTCATTATCTTGGGGCAAGTATGATGTGGGTGATGTAAATTTGTAAATCACCTGGTGATCTTGGGGTGATGTAAATTAGCTGGTTTCTCAGTTGCTTTTAAGTCTTATGCACCTATCATAGTCTGAGCATCTCTCCATGAACAACATGACTCTTCATCTGAGAAGATCAGAAGTTTCGCTTTTTTTTTTTT